AATTTACTGGTAAAATCCCATTTTAAAACATTATATGAAAAATATGAAGGGAGTTTATAATGTTCAGTTCATCATGTATTAAAAATATAGAATGTATAAAAATTTTTAAAGATGTTGCTTAACTTTATTTCTACATTTTATGAATCTTACTGATGCTTTTTTTTTTTTATTTTGCGGTACGCAGGCCTCTCACTGCTGTGGCCTCTCCTGTTGCGGAGCACAGGCTCCGGACGCGCAGGCCCAGAGGCCATGGCTCACGGGCCCAGCCGCTCTGCGGCATGTGGGATCCTCCCGGACCGGGGCATGAACCCATGTCCCCTGCATCGGCAGGTGGATTCTCAACCACTGTGCCACCAGGGAAGGCCCTTATTGATTCTTTAATAAAAAAGTAAAAGAGTAATAAAAGAAGTGAGTCTAGTAAGTTGTGCCACTATAATGAATGGTAATGGGTGTATTTTGTTGGAGTTTAAGATCAATATGATTTATTACCAGATGTTCTACTGGTAAAGCTGATAATGTAATAATCAGAGAAGTAAAATTCACCTAGAGCTTCACATATGTTTTCATCTCTACTTATGAATTTATTAAAGCTTGGCCTGATAAACCACCACCTCAACACAGACAAACTCACTGGAACATATTAATTAGTCTAACTTTTATGCTACTAAATTCCACCATCATACAAAATCTATAGAGCATACAAATGTAAGAAAATCTCTATGACAAAAAATAAAATAGACTACATGAGATAAACCATTTGAAATGTTTCATATTCCTTTCAGTCTGTTATGTCTACAACTCACTCCTCTTTTGTCAACCAGCAACAGCATTTTTGTCTCCTTTTCTATCATCAGGATTTGATCAATCCCCTCCTGGGCCCAGAACAATCTTGCTTCCACATATATCTTATCTAACTCTCACACTCTCATGTCTCTCTTAACCTATTCTTCCTCTTTGACTTTCTAATGACTGCAGGTTTCTGCACCTTAAAATAAACCCGTCTGTCCTTTATCATTGCAATTGTCTTCTTTAAAAAATCCTTTCTCAGCTAAACTCTTCAAACTACTCCATATCTGCTCTCTCCAATATTCATCACCTCTGACCTTTCTTAACACTCTGAAGAGTGGCTTACTTACCTATCACTCTATCTTGAATCCTTCAAGAACAATACGCTGGTCAAATTGTAAGACCTGTTCTCAGATCTCCTCTTGGTTCATCGCCCGGAGTTATCTGACTCGGAGGATCACTTTTCCTAGAAGCTCCTTCCTCCCTTACCTATTGTGGCCCTCTGCTGTTTTTGTTTAGTTCCCTCGGGATTTCTCTTCTGTTTTTCTCCTTTCCATTGGCCATCTGATGGCGTTAACCATCTACTCGTTTTTGTTTTTTTTTTATAATATTAGTTACTCCAAAATCTTTGCCTCAAATCCTGTCTTGTTCCAAATTATCATAGTCTGTATTATTTTAGTGTCTCTAAATATCTTATTGGAACTTCAGTATCTCACAAATTTTGCACACCATCATCTTCCTTCCTAGTTTTGGTCCTGCTCCTCAGCTTCTTATATACAACGCTATAACCACCATCTCCCCAACCCTCATTTGGGCATAATTTTTTTTTTTTTTTTTTTTTTTTTTTTTTGCGTGTGCGGGCCTCTCACTGCTGTGGCTTCTCCCGTTGCGGAGCACAGGCTCCGGACGCACAGGCTCAGCGGCCATGGCTCACGGGCCCAGCCGCTCCGCGGCATGTGGGATCTTCCCAGACCAGGGTAGAACCCGTGTCCTCTGCATCGGCAGGCGGACTCTCAACCACTGCGCCGCCAGGGAAGCCCTTTGGCATCATCTTTGAGTCCTTTTTCTCATCTCATCAAAGGCCAAATCCTGTTAATTCTGCTTCTGTATTAGCTATCATAGCTGCTTCCACATCATCATTCCTACTATTACTTACTAGCTCCTTGCTCTCATGACATCTCCCCTTGACCAGCATAATAGTCTCCTAAGAAGGCTTAAGCCTGTTTTTCTCTCCTTTTGTCAAACCACTGGTGCACAGCTGTCAGATTAATTCTTCTTGGAGATTCAAACTCCTGTGTTCAAATGCATTCCAAAGAAAGATTTAGATCCTTATACTATCAAAGTCCTCCATGAATTAGCTCCAACCTACCTTTCCAACTTTGTTTCCTTAACTCTCTCAGATACCAAATACCAATCAAATTGAGTTCCTATGTGACAGTATCTTGGATTTCCATTCTTATTGCCTATGCTCATAAGGTTCATTACTTCTGAAAGCTCTTTTCTCATCTTTGCAGTTCCATTCACTAATTATCCTTCAAGGCCTACTGCACACGTTACCTCCTACATGAAGGCTTGAGATCGAGGTATCATTCAATGAGTACTATCGTCTAAGCACATGAAGCTCTACATGTGTTCATTCTTTTACTACAAACTGACGACAGTTAGTTCAGATGAGGAGATAACCCCATAGAGGATAAGTAATTTGCATACGGTCTCACAGTTAGTAAATGATAGCTAAAACTCAGGTTCTAACTAAAGCTTTCTGACTCTAGTTAACCACTGTAACTTGTTCTCCACTTTACGCCCCCTGTAATAAATACCTTGAACTTACATTTAGGTCTTTAATCCATTTTGAGTTTATTTTTGTGTCTGGTGTTAAGGAGCGTTCTAATTTCATTCTTTCACATGCAGCTATCCAGTTTTCCCAGCACCACTTATTGAAGAGACCGTCTTTTCTCCATTGTATATTCTTGCCTGCTTTGTCATAGATTAGGAGACCATAGGTGCATGGGTTTATCTCTAGGCTTTCTACCCTGTTCCATTGATCTATATTTCTGCTTTTGTGCCAGTATCATACTGTCTTGGTTACTGTAGCTTTGTAGTATAGTCTGAAGTCAGGGAGCCTGATTCCTCCAGCTCTGTTTTTCTTTCTCAAGACTGCTTTGGCTATTTGGGGTCTTTTGTGTTTCCATAAAAATTATAAAATTTTTTGTTCTAATTCTGTAAAAACTGTCATTGGTAATTTGATAGGCAAAGCAGAAACAGAGTCACCGATGTAGAGAACAAACTTACAGTTACCAAGGGGGGAAAGTGGGATGGGATGAATTGGGAGATTGGGATTGACATATGTACACTACTATGTATAACTAATGAGAACGTACTGTTTAGCACAGGGAACCCTACTCAATGATCTGTGGTGACCTAAATGGGAAGGAAGTCTAAAAAAGAGTGGATATATGTATATGTATTACTGATTCATTTTGCTGTACAGCAGAAACTAACACAACACTGTAAAGCAGCTACACTCCAATAAAAATTAATGAAAAAAATAAAAACCTTGAACTTTATTTTTTCCTATCTTATGACATGTATTACTTTGTACCTCATTTTATAGCTTTTAACTTGCATGTCACTTGATGGAGATCTGTGGAGAATTCATGCTGCCTTTATGTAATAATAAGTGTTTACTTAATAAATGCTTGTGCCTGGAGAGATGGATACACTATTTCTCTGTGTGAACAGTTACTATGTCTTTCTACTACCTACTCCATATATATTACATCTTCTAAGATGAGAGGCCTTATGTAATCTGTGGCTTTAGAATTAGATGGAGATGTTGTTTCTGAAGCATTATTCTCCATGATGCCTCAACATGCACCTCTTACTCTAATTAGTCTCAACTGTGCAATCCCTAAAACAAAATGCTCACTGCCACCTCTGCCCTTTGCCCCCAGTGTTTCTCTTTCACAGAATGTCTCTTGCCTCTTCCCAAGCCATATATTGGTCTTCTTTTAAGGTTCAGCTAAAAATTACAAATGTCTTTTATGGCCAAGGTAGTGTTTCATCAATTAAAAATTTGATGAGAATAATATTATGATGTGCATACATATATTCTTTGTGTCAAGTACTACATCTCTCTAAGTACACTTTTAAGCACATATTAAATACTTTAAAATAATGTTAGTGGGTCTTATGAATTAAGATTATTCTCATATAAGATAAATTAGGGCAGTTAACAGTCGAAAAAAATAATGAATAGTTCTTGAAAATAACTTAATTTTTTTTGGTACCTACTATGAAGACCTATCTAAAGAAGTTGATCCTACTTTATTATTTCCACCAAATATGTCCCAAAATATTTATTTAATTCAAATTTAGAATTAACTTCTAAAACAATATATGGTAGGCTGGGTGGTTAAGAGGTGCTTTCTTAGTTAATAGATATTAAGGTAAAGATTTTTCCTAATGCTTACTTCCCAAGATGGTAAAAGTAGTCCACTTTACATCTTATGTGACCTTGTTTTAGCCACATGACTTATATTTGGCTAGGACACAGAAATGAATCCAGCAGCTGCATACAAAATAGGTATGAAATATTTTCTTGAGAAAATTTAATTTTTGATGGAGGTAGCCATTGGCTCAAATAAGCTAAAATGCTCACTACTTTAAAAATCTTGTACATTTTGACTTGATAATATTATTTTTTTTATCCTTTGTGGTGGACTATACAACGGTTCAAACAAAACAGTGAAACTGCGTTTTAAAACGTGTTGTATTGAGAAGGCAGACATCATCTAGTTATCTTGTTTCTATGATTTATTACCCCAGCTTTGTTTTTCTTTTCTTTTCCACCACTCCAAGCTAGAAATGGGCAGAAGCAGATCTCCAGAACCAATTGGATAAATGAGGTACTCATACTCTTATTTTTCCTAAAGCACCTAATAACACCTTCTGAAGAAAAAGGAAAGTATTATTTTTCCTTGAAATGCATTCCTTTTAATTCTACCTGTGTTGAAAAAAAAAGAAAGAAAAATCCTAGCCACTTCAATAAGATATTTAATTAAACAGAGTCAAGGTCAATACAATTCTGAAAGCAACATTTGTCTAAGCTAATGGATCAGATTGGCCTTTGATAAACCCAGAATCTCCTAAAGAAAGTCATGGCTTCGGTTATTGGGGAGGTGGGGGGATATGAGGGAATTCAGGGAACATACATTTCCGTGATAGTCTCTGGCAGATTTGTGGGGATCTCAGTGAGACCTTTCCCACGGCAGTCTACGATATTGTTGCTACAGGTACAAGCAGCTGGACAATGCAAAACACTGCAAGACGGCGCCATAAATGACTGGTGACCTGAAAAAGAAACAAACGGAAGTTATAGTTTTTCCTCCCCAATCTCATCATTGTGAAACACACAAACTTAGCTAAAATAACAAAGCACGTTATTAAACAGAAATGCGTGTCTCTAAATACCTGATTATAAAATGATACTATATTTCTACAGTATATTTTAGGAAGCATGCATGTATGTTTTGGGGTCAGTACCGATAAAGCAAGTGAGATTTTTAAAACTAATTACAAAAATGATAATTTTTAAAATTTGAAAGATTTGTGAGAGAGGTTAAATTCTGATTTGAAACTAGAATTCTATTCAAATTTATTATGAGTTCCAAAAAAAGCAGCAACTTCAGACTAATCTATATTTCATTTCTAATAAGCTTAGATAGAGCGTGGTCTTTATTGAATTTAAGTAGCTTAACTTACTTTAACTCAAAGAAGGAAAGGAAAACAGTAAAACTTCCCTCTTGGTAGACATAACTGTCTAAATAAGTAATCATGTGCCAATAAGTATGGGGGAAATAGATGATGCTAAGTTTGATTTCTGGGTAGGTTCAAAATTACCGCTTTTTTTGAAGTTGTAATAATTTGTATCAGGTCATTCTGTTAGTTGTAATCTAGATGATTCCTTTTTTGACTTTGTATGGCTTAAAATTTTAGGCTAAGTAGTTACCCAGAGGTATATATTTCACTACTCAGTATTGAAATTTTACTGTTCAAATGGTGAACAACAGGCTGTCAGGCATTTTGTACCAAATAGGCATCTGCAAACGCTGGGTTTGTCCCTGCAGCAGGGCCAGACCTCTCTGCCCTGCAGAGAAAGGGCCCGAGTGGTGGTGATACCCAGGGAGGAGGCTACAGGCTAATTACTAACCAGGTCCCTCTCAACAAGTTCTCACACTTTACAAAAATAGTCTCAGTCTAAACAAGAAACGTGAACTTGCCTTCTTCCTCATCTAGAAAACAGGAAGGAAAAAAGTAAAAAGAGAAAAAAGTGGTTAGTAACGAATTGTTAGTCACTTCCTTACTTAATTTTTTATAAAGCAATCAGACCTACTGAGCACATTCCATGACATTATAAGAAAATTTTGTTTGGGTTACAAAAAGCATGAGAAAATACATAAAAAGGTCGAAAGGATAGCAATAAAATAGAATCCTGAACTAGTATATCTTCTCACTCTTCCTTTAGGAAACTGCTATTTATGATGCATTATAAATATTAAAAATTTTTGTTTTATTTTGAACAGACACTTCTGAAACAGAAATAATTTATATGGATTGGGAATCAGACTGCCTAGGTTGAGATCCTTGGACTTAACTCTACAACCTTCGACAAGGTTACTTACCATTTCTTTTTCTCAGCATTTTAAACTTTAATGTAATGTTACATTTCTCGACAGATGTTATGAGGGAGGTAAAAATGAGGTAAATATTTGTGAAATACTTAGACTGATGCTTAAGCACATAGAAGGAACTAACTGAATGTCACCTATTGATACTTTACATAACCGGTGTCTTATTTTTGTTTTCAGATTTTTGTTACTAAAGTTAGTCATTTATCTCTTTTAGGTAGAACTGCAACACATGAAAAGTATTTTGTCACTTTGCAACTACAGTTCTGTTACTTTTTCAATTTCCCAGCCGGGATCCAAGATTAGTTCATCATTTTTCCAATTGTTAACATCAAAATAGAAATAAATTCTTACTTAAAGGTAAAATCATGAGTAGTAAATAGAACTGTAATTTAGGAATTTCTTATCTTTCCCTTGGACTGAAAACTGAAAAAGCCTTCATCATAACTTAGGTGAAAGTAATCAGTAATTGCCAACCATGCAGGAATGTCTTAGAGCCTATGACATCATCCCTAACACAGAGGATTTCCACAGAGTGATTAGTGCATAACTGCACATTAGTGAGGAGCAGTGAAACCTCTGAAGCATGCACCTTACACAGTTCCTTACATCACAGCATATGGGAATATGAAAACAGAAAGGTTCTTTCTCCCTTACCACTGCAGACAAATTCTCGTTTTTGAACCTCAGCTACGTTATGGCCCCTTAGGTGGGATGGCCCCATACACTGAGTGTAGAGGCCCACCCGAGGCCTTTGGCGTAGCCAGTCCGAGAGCCAGGCCAGGTGGCAGTCACAATACAGGTTGTTCGAATGGAGTCGACTAAATGAGAGCCAAGAAGTTTAAAGCAAGAAAACAGAAAAGAGTCATTTCAAAACTTGGAAAATTCATTCATAATAACATATAACTTCGTCTCTACCTATAAATAGGTTAAAGCTTAATAAATGCCAATCTAATTATTTTCCTAAAAATTAAACTGGTTTATAACCACAGACTCAAGTCCCTGTTCATCTGCCTCTGAGCTAAGTAAGTACACAGAAGCTTGAACATGACCATGAAAATCTTTTGCCTACGTCTATTCAAAGGGACAAAGAGACACAAAGAAGCCCAAGGCAAATTGCTCTGCCGTCTCAACATACTGGCAGCCAGTGGGGGTGGGGTGGAGGAATGGGGAGGTCTGGGCTCAGGCAGGGGTAGGAGGCATGTTAAGAAAGGTTGTGGCTCCCAGTTTGAAATACCAGTTAGTCTTGTCATTATTAGTCTCTGTGGCAACTGCTGGCAAAACTTTTTTAGCAGGTCACTTTCATTTTTTGCTGAACCCGACAGAATAATAATTCAACATAAACCACTTCTTTTCATTTCCCTATTCTGATTTCCTTCTTTTTGTTTAATCGCAGTAAAAGGGATTAGCTGCTTTTGGCTCTTGGGGACATAGCCTCAAAGAGGAGGAACTGAAATTAAAAGACATAAATGGCTGGGAGTGAAGGAATTATGCCAGCCCCCTCTACGCTGGCAGGGATCCACACCAGATCATGGATCCCTTCCAAGTGGTAAATAACACTTCTCCATTAATAAAATATCAGACAAATGTATCCACTAAATTAGGTAAATGACTTCAAACTGGCTTTTATGTTTTCTCAAACTAAAGAAAAGGACATCCAAAGCTATAAATCAAAGCATCATTCCCAGAATCATCTATGCCATGGTAATACCATTTTAGCCCTTTTTAGCTGATGTGCTCGATTATAACCCAATAACAGTAATGGATATTAAAACATGGAACTCAGTCCAGAAAGCTAATTGGACCATAAAAATGGAATTTTTAAGTAGCAATGATAATACAGAATAATGAAACAACCAAAGCAAGGGAATTTAAAGTCAGATGACTGTTTTACATTCTCCTTGAGCCTGGAGGTATGGAATAGACTGTCTTGCATCCAAACTAGACAGCATGCCACAGGACAGAAAGGTACATTTTGGGAAGGCTGGGTGACCTCTGGTGAAGTTTGCTTGGAGGTCAAAGTGGCATCTTTTGGAAGCCACAAGGCACATTCCACATCATCGCTCTAAATATTTCCATTGAAACCAAGTACATTACGATGATTCAATTAGATGTGCACACATTTGAAATGAGGAAAGAATATAAAAATGTAAAAACCTGATTAGTAAGACAAACTGTAGTGGATTTCCACAAGAAAATAAGACTCACTATACTCACTATACTATTTAATTTGTTTTTAAAAACTTAGCTAAAACTAATGAGAAACCAACTTCATTAAATATAGTTTGAGTGAACTGGGCTCTTCATTTTACCAGTTAGTCTCAATCTGAGAGCTCCAAGAAAACAAAACTCAGTTGTGCCTGCTTACTTTTAGAATGATTTTATTTTGCTAAATTATATTCCAAGGAAATTATATCCCATGAAGAGCTCAGTTTTAGTGAGGAAAAAATGATATTAGTATTGGTATTATCTAATTCATTAAAAAGTGGCAATTCAACTGATTTTTGATGAAAGAGAGAAAATAAATGTAATGTTTTCAGTTATAAATTATTGTAAAACAAAAATATCTTGAAAACCCTACCAAAATATATTTACTCTACTTAAAAACGCATATTTTTTCAAAAAGTCCAATGCTTGGTTTTGTTTCTCACCATTTCTCACATGTTGTATATAATATATATTTTTAGGTCAAGGTGATTCTGAAACCCAGTTCAAATGCTATTTATCTCTGAAAATGCTTTAACTAAATGCCCCACCCTGGGCTTTGAGGATTAATTTTTCTCTAAGAGAAAAAAATAGCTGTATCAAACACTTTTATTAGAGAATCATTTTTATCCATCTAAAATATTTTAATGTCCATCTGTAACTCCTGAAAAGATATTTTAAAATATAAATGCTGACACAACCTTGATTACAGAAGCACTGAAGGGTGATGCTGTAATTTTACGTCACAAAGAATGCTGGAGAGCCAGTTTAGCTTTATTAGGATTGCTTGCCATACAGTAATAAAATCATAAAGATTTACCATTTATCATTTCTGACAGCCAGTCAAGGAGTCTTCCATTTCTTAATGAAATGTGATCTCCACAACAGCTCAAAGTAAATGTTTTTCTCCCTCCCCCAAACTTCCCATAACACACATCATTTAAAAGGAAGCTTTCAAGTTTTCAGAATAATAGTTCATTTATTCAAATATCATATCCAGAACTTTTTAAAAAGTGGTGTTTCCCTTGTCTATCCCATGATGATCTAGTGGTCATATTCTTTACTTACTAAAAACAGTACTTAAGGGGAGTCATTAATTGATTAAATTGACTTTATATATATATATATATATATACGGCATATGGTTGAAACTTGCCACAGAAAGTCTAGTAATGTTGTTATTGTTGAGAGTGCTGTAGAATAAAAAAAGGTTAGAAATTTTAGATATGAAAATTTATTGATCACTCCACATGTTAACACAGAAAAAACCTCTTGTGATTATGTTTATGCAGAACAGTTACCTGGTAAAGATGGCATCAAGAACAAACTGTATTATACACAAGATGATAAATAAATTTCATACTTTAACATGTTACTATGCATTCATCAAATATTTATTACTAATTTGTGACTTGAGTCATAGTATCTTTGACCATGTAGCTTTATGCACTGTGTACATACATGTCGATTTACGATACTGGTTAAGAAATGAACGTGAGACAGTCACAGTTGGAAAAATTAAACAGTTATATTTCCTTTAAGGGTATTATGTATAATTAGTGTCCACGAGTAAACGAAGCCATTTGAATTCTCCAATTGAAATCTCATAGCAATGGCACAGAATCAGTACTTTCAGGTCCTGGAACAGAGTCCTATTAATTGTTCTTTATTGTGGACAGCAGCCGCTGTTGAAATTTGAGTAGGAAGAACAATATCTATATTTGGTACTTGCATTGGGTAGGAAAGAAGTGACATGCTGTAGCAATATAGTAAAAGCTTAGTATATTCTAGCAATTTTTAGTTGCAGCCACATATCCTGTTCTTTGTTTAGTGCTGTGTAGTGATCATGGTTTCTTGAAGCTAGGGTCAAGAAGATGGGTGGTCAAGGGAGATACGGTGAAAATAAGTATACTTCTTACTTGGTTCAAATTTTTCCTAATTTCCCTCTAACACAAGCATTGTTAGTTGTATGATTACTACTATTTCTACTACAACTACTACTCATTCATTCATCAAATATGTCCTGAATGGCTCTTATTTTTTTGGCAACATGGAATTTCTAAAAATAAGTCAGGCATAAATCTTGTCCTAAAATAGCATACAGCCCAACTGCAGAGATGAATTACACAAATTACAAAAACTTAGAGTTAGTAAGACTTAGAAGAGAGATATCTTTTTATCTCCATTTGGAGAAGTCTGATTGTGACAAGACAGTGAAAAAGACAGTCATCCCAGGAATGGGTGAGCAGAGTGTGGAGATGACAAATGATTCCAGTATACAGAAGATACAGTAGGGTGATGACTGAACAGTGCAGTCGCTGAAGAAGGCAGGAAAGATGGATCTTGGTACAGGTGGATGATGTTTGATATTCAAGAAGGGTTTGAATTAGAGGTTGCACATTCACTTGCCTACAGAGGTCATGCAGGAAATATACATGAGAGAAGCAGGCTGCTTGTAAAGAAATAAAATGGGGAAGAGTGACGAGGAAGAGCAGACCGATCCCTGGGGACAAAGAGGACCTTGGTGATAGTGATGATATTCTCTGTTGTAGCAACTAATATTCAGCTCTGATGGACTGCTGCTCTGCTGTAATGGAAAGCTGCCAAACAATCTGATTTCCTCAAGAGAAACTAAAAACGGGAGTTTTTAGATCAATCTTCCTAATTTTTAAATACTGGCAACTAACTCAAATATTTCAGAGTCCACGGGCCACGTCTGTTTGGGCTAAGCAAGATACATTGAGGCCACTTTAGGCCAGCTGGTGGCTATGGTTATCAATGGTGGGATATGGGGTGTTCAGGGGTAGAGGGATTTACTTAAACTTCTCAGTAAAGCAGGGCACGACAGCTACAGATCTAGAACATGCACTGACTTTCTTTACTATCCAGTTTAGCAATGTATTGAATGATATAAGAACTAATGCAAATGATCTGAACTAAGTCATATAGAAAAAACCCCACTGAATGAAGGATCTATAAAGCACTGAATTGGTCGGCTCATTTTATCTGAAAGCCTCTAGTATTTTCCTGTACTCGAGTGAAATGAGACTTTTTTTCAAGCACCATTAAAACATATCCTGATGTCTGAACTAAAAGGTTTCACTTCTCAAAGGGATTTGCTTTAAATGACCCCCTTTGCCTACCCTCAAAATTTATACTGATTTTATATGGCTTAAATCTTCAGAGTATACAGAATACTGAAATGTGGTTTTGGGGACAACTTTTTTTTTAAGCAATTCACACTAGGCAGACATGCGTTAATTTTGAACTACAGTTTCTTATAATTCCACACAAAAGAGCTATCATTGCATGCCAAAGCCAGTGGCTATCAATTTGAAGACTTTTCTCAAAATGTTAATTTGTTTAATGCAACTAAAAAATTAAATTAGCTCATTATTTTTATTCAGTATTGATGCTGGCAAAGCAATATTGATATTAATACCTGGTAACTGAACAATATGTGGAACCAATGAAATTAAGTTATTTTGAAATTAACAATAAATATAATTGTTGATTAGGTATGATGACACGTATGTGTTATGGCCATGATCAATTCCTATTATGAGACAATGTGAAGTTATATGCTGTACTTTTTTATTTGTGAACACTTTTTCCTGCATGGAAGTCTACTTCTCTGTTCAACCTCAAGATTTTCTCTATGTCATGAGAATATATTCTTGTACAAAGGACATCCTGGTGTGTAAATGAGAAATGTTAGTCTTGGTAATCATGTAGGCCCTCTTGGACTTAGATCTTGATTTATTCTTTCTTATTCCCTAGTGCTAAGCATAGGATTTGGCAGAAAGTCTGATATTGAATGGATTTGAACCACTATGTTTCAACTCAATTCAATTATGTCCATTCTATAGAAAAGAAAAATAAACCATATAAAACTGGCAACTCAAGCAATGTATTTCATTTCCGAATCTAGTGTCCAAAGAAAAAAAATTGATCTACATTTAGTTTCCAATGCTATTTTTGAGACACCATCTTCTTATTAAGAAAATAAAGTTAATTCTAAATCCTATCAATGAGAATTCCACAAAAAGCCAGTTCATTTTACATGAAAGCGATAAACTGCCTCCTTGCTTTCATCTACCTTGGCTTTTCCTTCTTGAACTTTATTCATTCTCTCCCTTAATATATATTTTGATCTAACAAATTTCCATCAATGGTTCAGTATGATTACCCCCATCTTCTCCCGTTTGGCCTCAGTATATTCATATATTCACACATGATTCACAGAATCAAAATTTTAAAAAATCTAAAACATTAGAAATCCAAAATTTAAGGTGATGCACAAATTAATGCTCCTTCATTATTTCCTCATAATAAAAAGATATATCTTAAAGAGTCATGGATGATAAAAATAAGCAAAACAGGTAAATTTCTTTCTGGAGCTCTATATAAAAAATGGTAACTCTATATTTAAAAAGCCCCAGACCAGACATTTATAATGGGTAAACCTTTGATTTACTTGACAAGAGATTATGGCTTAACAAATTCAGTCTTTCCAGCGTTCTAGCCAATTTAGCCTTAAATTCTTCATTAATTAATTTCTCTAAAGGCTGCATAAATTATGAGCATTAAAAAATTAATATATATTAAAAGAATGTCTGCTTGACTTTATATTTAATATAAAATATTAAAATTATTTTGAAAAAATTCACATTTTCTTGTATTGTGTTAATTTTAACTCTTTTCTTTAGCAAACAAACACTATCCATTAGATACTTTTTGAGACCTATCTATTAAGGTCCTCAAAAGAGTTCCCAACATTTTAGATTTTGATTTTAATTCCATGAACCACGAGATGTTTATCACACTTTGGTGTGTTTCATGATAGTGGGTCTTGCAAAAGTCACCTTTTAGATATGTTGCTAACCTGACAAAATATAGGAGGTGACTGTGTTTTCTTGAACTTCCTGCTTCTAAAAACAATGATACTAGTTTAGAACTAAAAAAGCAAATGAATAGTTATTGTATTTGTGGGTAAAGTGTTTTCAATGCCTAGCACAGAGCTTGATACATAGCAGGAACTTTCTCTCTCTTCCTCTCTCTCTCTCTCAATATATATGGAGCACTCAATACCTCCTCAGTATATTAAACATATATTAGTTATTCTATAGCTAATAAGTATTTAAGTTCTTTTACATAATAATAAAGTACTTTACGGGATTTAATTCATTCAAAACATTTAGCAAATTTTTCATTAAATGTTTGGTATCATTCATATTCTTAGTCAGGTGCACTGACTTAATAACAAATTCTTTGACTTGTTCTGCTCTGTTCAACTAAATAACACTTGTAGTAGTCTCCTCACATATAAAGTTTAGTGACATTGACTATGGTTTTGACGTCAGACCACTATCACGAAATCATAGTTGTATCGCAATTATCCTCACTCTGAAATAGCATTAGTGAGCTTCCTATATTAAAAATGGCTCTGGAACACAATTTTAAAAGTGGCCTTATAACTACAATGTGTACGACAAGCACCCTGATTTTTTTTTCCCTTTAGAATAAGTTAGATTGTTATCAACAGAAACAAAGGTGATCTCTCAAGTGGTTAGAGAACAGTATATACTCTCAGAGCAATTTACCTCAATCAACTCATTCTTACATAATTCTTTAAAAATAATTAATAACTTAGCAGCACACGACACACTGAGAAATCCGATTCATTTACTTGCAATTAAAACCAAAATCATATAGAAAAAATGGAAAAATAAGCCATTCTAGTTGAAACAATCAACTTTTTTCAGAATGACATTCTGCTCTTCAAACTCAATTTATAAAGCAATGGGATCTTTTTCTCAGGAGGATTTCTGGATAACTTTTAACACATGGACTGAAAATTCAAAACCTCTTCACATTTAATTCAGCTTCAGATTTCTGAACAAACTGGGTCGGGGAGAATTATAGCATAGAAATATATTTTATTGGGGGGAGAAATCTGTAAGTATACTTAAAAAGTTAGAAAGGTGAACTTTTGGGGAAATTTTTCAGAAACGTATAGGTGGCTTAAGCAGCTTTAGTAACTCTAGTTTTCATTAAAATTATTTTTCATTATAATTAACAATGCCATTAAAATTATTTTACAGTGTCAAAGGTCTGTAGAGATTACTCAGTTACCTCTAACCAATTTTGTCAGCCATGTCTGTCCAGCAAGGAAAGACAGAAAATGCCAATTATAATTCAAATCTGTGTGTAGTGCTTTACAAAGTCAGTAGTGAAGACTTTAAAATGGACCTAGTGGGTGGCTTATTAAATTTAGACAGTACATTTCAAAGTAACCTTACAGAGATGGTAAGTTATCTAGTTAAAATGACATTTTAAAATGAGAAAATGTCTTTCCATTGCACAGCAACTAAAACATATCAACATATCAGCTATTAAGGTTTATTTTTTGTTGTAATTTTTCCTATGCAACTGATGTTATCTTAATATATAGCAATTCTGGGAATTCTCACAAATCCTGTGTATGAGACTATTTTATCATAAGGAGAAACACTTAAAAGACAATACGTGCGAACATTTGAGTGTCCTTCCTAAATCAGACAATTTTACCTAAGCATATAGATATGCTATGCAAGGTTTTGCACACACACATTTCAACTCTACTCTGTATTCGCTATGAGTTATTTAAGTGCTCTCTTTGGGAAACCATTTTGACACAAGGTTTCAAGCTAACAGATAAGCATCCACATTAGCACTCCCCAGACACAAAGCTCCCGTTAAAAGAGTAAGAAATAAGCGGTACTTACAGCACCTCCAGGTCCCGGAGAGCCCTAAATGCCCCATCTTCAATACAGCTGATCTGGTTGTAATCCAGTTGCCTGTTAAACAGATTAGAAGAATATATGTAAGAGATTGGACACTAGCAGGGTTAGGTGAAAGGAAGTCTCCTGAAGGGTCTCTGAAGCCTTGGCTGCACTAACTGAAATGCTCTCACAAATACACTCATCTGCTTAAGAATGTCACAAGCCATTCTGGCGTCGTCGGTGCCGTCACTGAAACCTCTTTTTGTTCTGAACTGTGTGTGCAAATAGCAGCCCTTGGAAAGCTCCAGTAAATAATAACTGCACCTTATATTAAATGCCATAGGAATGCAATTTCATTACATCAAGAAAAGCTATCCATTAAGAGCTTTTAGCGTCATCTTGCTGAAACAATTTCATTAAGGTAAAGGACTGTAAATCACTTAATGTCACATGCACCCCCTCAGTGACCTAACAGAATCCATTTATCAGAGACACCCAGCTGCATGTTAATTTCACTATCCTTGGCAAGAAACAGCAAGAATACTTTTAGGTTTTCTTCTTTTAAAAGCAGTTTTCTTTCAAGAACTCCAAATCAGGAAAGAGAAATGACGTCCCGTCTATCTCCTTGCTATTCCCAACTAGACATATACTTTACAAAGCTACCAGTTGTTTTATATTAAGCTTCACTATATGCAAGCATTGTTATCATTAAATGCGAATTCTCGGCACTGTAAATATTAGACTTTTCAGTTAAGGAACTTTCCAAATTACACCACTCTCCAGAAAATAAGTTTTTTTAAAAGTATTAAGAAATTTTTTAAAATTTGCTTTTCTCAAAGATGCTAATTTCGGCCCAAAACACTATGAAACACATACAGCAGCAAGATTGTTAAAACACCACACATCTCTAGAGTCAAACATTTAAAAGCTGTATCAGCTCATTCTAAATAATGCAGAATTCAAATAAATGAATGTTCTCCAGAAGTTTAAGTACTCATTTGCTACAATTCAAAGATTGAAAAAAAATGGCTGCTCCAGACTTGTTTGCTTTCTCCTGCCGCTTGTCTGGGGAATTAAAATTTCCTTCTTCATACTAAGAAATTTACTTGGTTGAAATGGACAACTAAGTACTAAATCCCACAGAACTCTCCTTTTTGTTTAACAAATAAGCAGTTTTTATTTAAATCTAGTAGCTTGATGCTTAGCGATATTATTATTCCTGTAAAGAAAAAGTGTTTTAATGCTTCACTTGAGATAGAAACAAAATGTTTAATCAAATAGTCAGATGAGTTGTCAGCTCTGCATGCATTGGGAAGGGAGGTACACGTACAGGGTAAGACTGTGATCCTAATACAAACGAATCTTGTCCTTGTTTCCAGTGCATAATTCACCAAAAGGGCTAATTCAAGTCCGAGGTCGGTTTTTAAGGGAAATGTTGCAATAGCTGTTTCTCTCACAAGACGACTGAATAAAGGTGCAGTGATTTAAACCAGTGACTTTCAGAGGGGCCTTTTCAAAGTCCTTACTTTAGAAATTATTTACATAGAGAATGTCTCATGAAATACACATCTCATTTTTAAGAAGGTCTCTGGGGGACATAATCATATAGGAGGCTACCTTGATGCCGTGCAAATGGTGCGATCTAAGATGTGCAATATAAAAAACGTGAGCCCTCGAGAAGATACAGTTTTATTGCTTGTATAAACTAAGGCTTTTCCCAAACAACAGCTACCGCTCATGCTACTGTAACAGCTGAAAGCATTTCTGCTTATTAGGAAGTATGCAGAGGTATAATTTTATTTTCTAAGAAGACTTTTTTAAAGACTCATGATGTAATATGGTTGCAGCAGTTCCAAGAAAACACTTAACATTCTTGAGCACTTTTGATTTTTACAGATTAAATTCATTTAACAATTAAGTTAATAGCCGTTTTTTATTTTTAAAGTGCTAAATATATATCTACACTACTATTCTCTAACCTCTTGAACAATTTATCAAAGCCATTTAAATTAGCACAATGGCATGAAGTGTTACCCGTGACACACTACAAAAGAGAAATTGTTTCCAGACAAATTGGCAAAATCTTTTAATGCTATCAAATTTGCCTAATGCAGTTTCCAGGTTAATCTGTAAAAGGGTGAGCTGTATGTTTGCCCATATCTTATTATCCTTAGCTGTCAATGTATAAATCAGTGCTGACACAGCTTCTTTTAAATCATGCATACTATACACAAAGGGGAAGCCCTAGTTTGCCAGAAAGCACTCAAGCAAATCTTGTCCTACAAGTACTGAAAGACAGATTACTTTCTGTAGACCACTAGAAGTTGAGACGCTGCTGGAAACATTTCTAATTTTACCCCTCTTTAACGTTGCTCATGGTTATATGCTTCTTCTGATTCTTAACAGAAATCTACGCCCTTATTGGCACTAAACCATTAAGAATATTCAGCTCTCATAGGACCAAAGTCGTCCCTAAAAGTTTCCTGAATGCCATCATATCTCAGTTCAAATATCTTCTGAGAAGGAAGGTATTTTGTGAAAACATTACTCATTTCAAAGGACAATGAAAATCAAAGTAAATAATGTTTTCATCAGTGGGTAAATTTTGTAGTATTCAAAGGTATGTTTATGGAAAGTGTTGTACCCGCATGACTGCTCATGAGAAAATCTCTCTGCACAAACCTCTATTTGTTTGCATATGGTTCAAGATAAACAGTGTCACAACTATACAAAAGTGTAATTTATTTCAGAGTTTCTGGACTAATTTTCTTCACCTTGTTTCCTCTCATGCTACTCACTTCCTTCTCTACCACCTCTCAAACCCTGGGCACTCCTGCTTTCTGTAAACAGGAAAGGATCTGTTCAGCCAAGAGTTTAGTGACATGTTTAGATGTGATTATAAATTGTGCCGTAAAATTGTTCCGAATTAAGGAATTAGTAAGAGGAAAATTTTTTCACTTCTCCTAAAAGTAATGTTACAGCTATTTACCCAGACATAAGGTAAATGTGTTGATCTTTAGATGATAAGAGCACTAGGTGCATCAGAGACGGCTTGAGGATCCTTTCCTGACACAGGAGCTACTTTCCAGGGGGAAGCGAGCTAGTGCTCTTCTTATTTTCCCAGGAGAAAGAACGGTATGGATAGTACCACTGGTGGTTTCTTTCAGACTTTTAGCCTACATGTTCTTGCCCAGACTGCTGTGTCTTCTCCTCATTTCCTACCCCCAGCTCTCTTCTCTTGTTTCTGTTCAAATTCTGACCCATCCTCTCTGATCCTCCACTGTCCTAGTTTGTAAGAGTGTGACTTGAAGCAACTGCTTTATCTTTAACTTCATGAAAATAATGTTGTTAAAAAGTATATTCTCTTTAAGATTTCTCTCAGCATTAACATCCTATGATTCTCTTTTCAGTGGTAGGTGCTCCTCTTCTGATGCTCCAGAATAACTCTAGACTGCCTATTTTATTTTTTCCTAGCACTGGTAAATTTAGTCTTAGAGAATGCAGTATGTTTTTATTAAGAGAGGTCACTCTGTGCCTCACTCACATAAAATTTCTAAAGCTGATCTGATTGTCCTTAAGACTAAAAATAATTTAGCCTAGCTTCAGATTTTGATTAACTCTCAGGATGAGAGACAATATATAATGTTGCTAAGTATAAATTTTACAAAAGAGATATATTAAATGACAAAAACAGTTGGACATTTGCTTACTTGGCATCCTGAAATATAGCTAGAGACACTGCACTCTGTTACTTTTCTTTTTAACATCTTTTTTTTTTGCGGTATGCAGGCCTCTCACTGTAGTGGCCTCTCCCGTTGCGGAGCATAGGCTCCGGATGCACAGGCTCAGCGGCCATGGCTCACGGGCCCAGCCGCTCCGCGGCATGTGGGATCTTCCCGGACCAGGGCACGAACCTGTGTCCCCTACATCGGCAGGCGGACTCTCAACCATTGCGCCACCAGGGAAGCCCCTAACATCTTTATTGGAGTATAATTGCTTTGCAATGTTGTGTTAGTTTCTGCTGCATAACAAAGTGAATCAGCTATCTGTATACATATATCCCCATATCCACTCCACATTCTGTTACTTTTAAGTAAGTCTTTTTCAGGATTTCCTGCTGTCATTTAAAAAAATCTAGATACCATACTGTTTGAATTACATGCAAAATATACCTTCCTGCATTAACTTTAGTTGGTTTTGTCCTTGTTCATAGAAAATTCATATTTCAGTGCAGTGTCCAAGTAATAAAATCTTATTACTAATTTTCTTTTTTGTAAAAATTAGAACACCATAAAATATACTTAACTCTGAAACAATAGTGAACATAAAAATTCTTTAATAATTTCTAAGCCAGGCAGAGTTTCTCAATGACTCAACAAAATTATTATCACTATGCTCCACTTTCCCAGGGTTTTTTAGGTATGAGAAATAGAAGTTTCGTTCATGTTTATCTCACCACTGTAAGATGACAAACTCCAAGAATCTAGTTGACTTAAAACACATTAAAGTGACTACAGTCAGTATGAGGGAGAAACAACATTTCACTGTTTTAAAAGCAACCTGATAAAACATAAATATAATGGGAGAAAAAGAAAAAAAAATGCTGGTAAGGATATGGGCAGGATCTGCTCTATTTCTTCCCTGTTTGTATAAAATTCAGGTGAATATGAGTGCCTAAATATACAAATCTTATGCTAATAATGATTGTTTAAGAAGCAGTTCAAGATTTAAATTATAATACATAGAGGGAATAAAAAATTTTAAATTAATCCATATAAATGAACATCCTAGAGAGAAGTATCAGCAAACATTATTTACCTCGGCATAAAAGTCCATCTGTGTTAGCCTGGACATTAATGAAGAAAATAACCAAGGAAAGAACTCTTCTTAGGAACCCAAAATAATTTATGTTACTTGAGAATTTAACCCTTTTACAATGTTTCAAGTAACATTTTGTTTTTCTCATAGGAATAAAGAATCTCAGTTTTTATTGGAATAAGCTGCGGTATAATATTATATCCATTTGATAATTTATTAGAAGGAAGCTAAAGGTAGTTCTAACAGAGATGGTAATA